ATAATTTTCATGAGTTCAGTGGCATTGTGGTGCAATGGCTCAAACCACTGCCTGTGACACCAGCATTCTTCATGGGCTCTAGTTCTAGTTTCAGCTGCTGCTTCATTTCTAATATGCTTCCAAGAAGATATGCCTGCAAAAGCAGGAGAAAATGGTCCATGTCCTTGATTCCCTGCAACCCAGTTGGGAGACCTGGGGGAAGTTAGTGGCTCTAGCCCAGCTCTGACTACTGTAGTCATTTGATGATTGAACAGACAGAAGATCAATCTCTCTTCTTCTTGCACCCCACACACCTGGAAATCTGCCTTTCAAATTAACAATTCTTTAAGAACTAATTTCATGAGCTGTTTTTAAAATAACAATTCTTCTTTATGCACCAAAAAGTTCTACAAAGAGAATTTAGAACAAGTTCTTACAAAAGTATATGTGACTTTCATTTCCATTACTTCCCATTTTCATGTAGCTTTTTCTCATGGGACTTAGACACTTCTGCTTCTAATATGAACATTGAAAAAAACTAAGTAAACTTTGTGAAGGACTGTTTCTTATTTTGCCCATACTGGTTCACACACCTGTAGTTTCATTTCTGAGTTGGTAGAATTCGTTTTGAGTGTCAATGTATCCATAATAGTTGTGGGAATGGAGTAGGTGGGACTTGTTTTGTTCCACAGAGTAGTGACCTCATGATCTATTTTGCGCTTCATTTGGAGATTTTCAAATTGAATTCTTTTCCTAGGAATGCAGTTTTACATGGGCATACGACTGGCTTTTGTTTGGTATCTGCATCTTCTTGTCCTGTTCTCTTGCCCTGTTCTTGCCCTGTCATCTTTAACTCCGTTCTTATTTTGACACATTTTTTTTTATCATAGACCATATGAGAAAGCTACACAAAGTTGAGTCATTATTCACGATCTATATGAGAAATGCACAACACGTGGGTATTCTGTATCTTGTCTAAATGAATCCAAATCGGGTCTATCCAAAATCAAACTTGGCACTTGATTCCTTCCACATTCAGCTAGACTTGCCTTACCATAGCAGCACTCTGTGCAATTTCACAACTTTCCTAATCCTACAACGTAACCCTCACACACCACCACCTGCATCCCCTGGACATACCTAGAATTTGTTTTTGTCTTCACAGAACTTGTCAGGTATTTGCAGCTTGACTGAGTACTAGAAACATATCTGTACATTTTAAACCATATGAATTCTTGGACTTCCTCTCATACTTTTTCTTGGGAAGGGCACACAGGCATTCACTATTCTAATGAACAACTAAAGTTGATAATGGCAGGCTTGTCTCACCATTCTTTAAACATCATACCGAGTCTTACTCCCTGAACTACACCAACCCACTTGCCTCTTGATATTCCTTGAATGGCAACATTATAGTGTTAGAGATTAGTATTAGCAACTATAATTATTTCAGAATTTTTCACTTACTCATTTATTTAGTACTTGAGTACTTTGGAGTATCTGTTACATTCTCATGTCTGTGATATGTGTGTTCTCTCTTCAACCAACGAAAGAGATAATGGCTTACATCTTATAATTCTTCAGTCAAACAAATCCAAGGCAATTGGAAGCTCATATTAGATCTCAATAAGCACTTTTTAGTTAACGGTTTGAGTTTTCTATCCTGCAAGCCAACCAAGTTTTTAAATAAATAGATACTGATCTGCTATTATGTATGAGATACTTTGATAGAATTAAGGCATGATTTTAATTAGAACAAACAGTTTTCACCTTTACACTTCTATGCACATTTTCTATTTTTTCTGGTTTTAAATTATGAACTGATTTTCACTATTTTCTCTCTTTCATAATGTCATAATTATTTATTAAATATTATTAGATGATATTATTAGATACTATGCTAGTTATTGGCATCTACTGCTGTATTCAGTAGCTCAGTCATTTGAGATTATTATCTCTACAGAGAGCATCTTCTAGGAGAGGAGCTGACTTTGTCAAAGAGTACCCACAAAGGAAGGGGTAGAGCTGGGGACACAGAATCCTCACCTCCCACCCCACCCTGGCCAAGTCTTTGGCTGTGCTGAGATGACTCTCCAAAGCAGGGAGCATACTAACAGTTTCCACTGACCTGCTGGGTTAGGTGTGGTTTGCTGAGTTATGGAAAAAGATTATAAAGTGATGTTCAATAAAAACTATCATTGCTGGCAGCAGACATGGCTCTCACACGAATGTCATTAACAATAACAAATAGCTGACTGAGCGAGTTCTGCGCAATCTTAGCTGCCTGTTTGAATGACCTAATTGTTTTAAACTTTTGCTACTTTGGATTACCATACAATATTTTGTATCTCAATCTTTCTTACAGATGAGAGGTTTGCCTTATTACGTGGCTGGGAATGGATTTTTCCCTTCTAAGTTCACATTTCATGACTGCAAAGAGGAAAAACAGCACAGGTTTCAGTTACTAAGTAAACAGTCTATAAATGTACATCCTGTCTACAGAAAGAGGGTTATAAGAAACCAAAGGATTCTCAAGTTTAAAGAAAGGGCAGAAGATTTTCATCACCCACGTACAAACACCTTTGCTCTGTGACAGATCTTTTTTTACCTCCTTTATATCACGGTGCTGACCCCACCCAGCTCTCCATTTTGTTTTTGTTTTTTTTTTTTTAATTATTAGCTTTTCCATATCTTTCTTCTATGAACCTTATTTTTCTAGGATGGATTTTTCTAGATTTTTCAATCTCTTCTGCAATTGTAAATAGAATTCTCTTAAATGTGCATCATATTACAGAAGATTTACAAATGATTAACTTTTTATTTCTATTAAAATAGAACCGATTTCATAAATTTCGTAGGTGCAACTCTAAGGAGATAATCATACTTCCATCTCTCCCCCTCCCTTAAGCTTCTTTCTCTCTCCATTCTTTTCATTTTATTAATTTTTGCAAAGACATAATTTTAATCAACTCCTCCAACACTGGCTTAATTCACTACTAATCATAATATTTAACTAGTAAAAAGCATAGATATAACAATTACACCAGACTACAAATAAGGGAAAAAACAACCTTTATACTACAAGATGACCATTAAAATAGTTTTTCCCTTCAAGCTTACCTGTCTTATTTGATCTCACTTTGTTCATCTGCTCTTGTTTCATCGTTTCTCTTCTGCAAAGGCTCTATCCAGAAAATAATCTTTTATAATAAATACCAACTTTTTTGGAGCCATAAAATATTACAAGTTAGGTGCTTCTCTCATAGAGATGTGGACACTGCGCTCATGCACATTTCTCCACAACCATCTACTGAACATTTAAACATATGATTTTTAAAGTAACAGTTACATTCTAAAATCAACTTGTCATGAATTGCCCTATTAGTATGGCTCACTGTTAGTATGATAAAATCAGTGCTTTTTACAACATTAATTTAATAATCTCTTTCCAAAAGAAAAAAAATGCATTTGTATTTTATTTGTCTAGGGAAACAATAAATTTTCTCTAATTTAATGAAAATTTGGAATAGCCTTGCTCACAGCTGTCAAGAGATTAGGAATAACAGTGATATATCCATAATTGAATCCTTTAATGGATATATTTACATCACAAACAAGTATTAACATTGTCTTTTATTAGCATTCAAACTGCCAAATGAACACAAATTATAAAATGAGGAAATGTCAAGACTTCAGCTTTCCTTGCAGGCTGTTTTTGTCAACTTACTTCAACTGTTTCAAAGCATGTTCTTGAAGATAACGAAGCTCACCACATTTCAGAGAGAGAGATGTATACTCAAAACTGCTGCAACAGCTTCAAACCGTCACAACAGTTTCCCAAACCACAAACCATGACCCCCTCCCCACTATGCAGAGAACTGGAGTATTTTAAGCAGTTGTCTCACACAGAAGTCTCCTGGTGACAGGGTGTCTGGGGCTCTGCCTTGGACTGAGGATCAAGGGCACTAGGAGTTGCAATCTTTGCTGTGTGTCACCTGCTAATTTCTCTGCAGTCCGTCACAGACATTCCATGGAGCAGTCTGGGCTCTTGGCCACTGCGCTTTGTAGCTGGGGCCACAAGAAGAGGACAACCCTGCTGGGCTCAGTCTATAAAGATTCACATTTCACTCTTGGACTTTAACCTACATTTCATTTGTTTAATACAGAGGAATATAAGCAAACTGTTTACTTCTTGGATTAAATCACTTCACTGGCCAAGGTAAATTATGCTTCATTTGCAGCATGATTTCTAAACTTTCAAAAATGGGAATAAATAACAAGCTCTCCAAGAATACTCCTTTGATTTGAGAGTATATAACAGTACATTGGTGATGATTAATTTGAAGCTGAAAATAAATAAGATTTCTTTAAGTTTCTGGTATTGTGATGGACAGAATATAGTTCCTAAGATCAGAATGTCTCGTTTAGGTCCCATTTAGAACATGTGTGCTCTTAGATAATTTGCCTAATGTCTATGTCTCAATTCCAATAATACCTACCTCTTACATTAAATGTGGGGTTTAAGTAAGGCAAAGGGGCAATTACCCTTAAAATAAAGAAAAAGACTAAATTCACAAATTTGATTTATTTTAAAAGAACTTGTCCATTATTCCTATGGAAAATCACCAAATTTAAATTGCAATAAAAGGAAATAAAACTTCTGAGACAAATACTAAATCTCTTTACTTACTTATGACCCAGATGGCAATCTCGGTGTGTTTGAACAGTAATCCTAGAGGCAGGAGTAACTGAAATCCAAACAGCTACTTAAATTCTATTATTCAGGGATTAGTGGTCAAATGAAAGCAGAAACCTATACAGTAAATCTAGACATTGTCCTTTAAAAATTATATTTTCCCTTTGAAACACAACCAGACTCCATTTATCACCATATGTCTCATGTATCTTCCCTGAGCTTATGAAGAATCCAAAATTCATTGTCACTACCACATAAAGCAGACTTTTAAAAAAAAAGTTCTAGAAGACAGTGAACAACATCCTGTACTGAGAAAGACAGTCTCGATTCCTTGCTGAAGATGCAAACTTAAACTTGTATCTGTGAAAGTCTACAGACTGATCTGCTCACAAATTTACACTGTTAATGGCAGCAACTGAAACTCCTAGTAGAGGTTTCAAAGAATGACAATAACCATGTTTACCACAAAACCCAGTCTGTAACCCTTGCTAACCTGATACTACAGCAGCTGTGGAGTCAGTCAAAAACAACAAAAGGTTCCTTTCTATGTCAATGTCAAGAAGAGGGCTGCGGTCTGCCCTGAACCTCCCCTGCACTGCCAGCTGTTTCAGGACCCTGCAGACATGGCCCGGCAAGGAGAGATGTGACTCCACCTCTGGATAATACACAAGGCAGCAGCTGGCAACTGAGATTACAATGTCCTGGGAATTCTGCAACGCTCCTGTCCAGAGCAGGGTCATCTTTTTCGACCCTTTGGTTTCCATCTAATGAATACAACTTTCTCAGATACTACTGTCTTCATTCCTTTTCCAGTGAACTGGTGCACTATGGAGTCATTTAAGAATCCTGATTGTACGACTTAGCTCTCTGATCTGGGGTAAGCTACTCAATTTCATCAACTATTAATTGGGCATCAGACCAGTACCTATTAAATAGGCTTTCCAAGACAAGTATTACCTAATGCTTGTAAAGTACTTAGATTGCTGCCCAATCTGCAGGAGTCATGTCTTTATCATATCTCAGAAAAACAAGAGGATAGCTCACACATACTTATGTCAAGATATCCAGAAAAATAATCTCCAATTCAGATCAACATCCTAGTTTTCAATTAGAGAATGAATTAGATCAAGTTTTTAGAGACTAAAATGTGAGTTTCCCTACATTAATAGAGTTTCTAATATCTAAAAGCAAATATGTACTACACACTTAAATAGCACAAATAGGCCCACATAAATTAAACTGTTTATTATCAGTTACTTAGCTAATTAATGTAGGGCATTCTGCATATAAGAGTTAAAATATTCAATATCTGATTGCAGAGTTTACTCTGTTATATAATTTTATATAAAAATATACATATATCAAGAATGATGTATGAATACTTAGCCTTTCTTTTATACTATCTATAGATACTGATATGTTTAACTCATAACATTGATATCATACATTTAAATAATTAGGGTTTTTGTTGACTTGTCAAAGCATGCTCTACTATCTTTAAGTGATAAAAATATGACTTTAGAAAGCAGTATATACAAAAGAATTGCTTTAAACAACCAACATACAAAGAAAATAATGTGGCATCACCTTGGAATAACTGTATTTGAGGACTTCAAATAATCTTTTATATTTTTAACAAGATACAGTTCCCTCACTCACATAAGTAACAGTAAAAGCATGATTGGTAATTAAGCATAGGAACCTCATACTTTACATTACTTTCTCTATGTCTTGTGCATACTTCAACTTCCTGATTCATTCTTGTTTACACTAGGCATGTTACAGAGCTCACAGGCGGCTGTAGTATTTCCCCCTCTCTAAAGAGTTCATGTTTCTGCTGATGGACCTCTACGTGGATATTTAAATACCAATGTTTATAGCATCAAGGGCTATTTTTTTTTTGCCATTTTTATCTTGAAATGTGAATTTGAAACTAGCCTGTGCTTAGAAAGAGAAAAATCTAGTCATAACATAAGGATCAGTAAGCAACAAGATATTAAATCAACCTATTCCAGGCCATTCCAAATAACTGATTTAAGCGACTATTCATTTTCTATTCACTGATTTTATCAAATATCTATGTCAACGAATCAAATAAACCTTTTTTGTTATCAAAATATAAACACATAAATACATGAAGCTGTATGTCTAACGCTCTTTTTCTGACTTACAGTCAGACTGACAATGTGAAAAGGAATGAGAAACTATGAGCTCATATGGGTGCTGAATGAAATAAATCTACTTGACATAATTCCTGTGAGTTCAAATGCTCGCTTTTCATTGGATTTTAGTGTGGCTTACTCTGCAGTAGGAGCCACGTCCTATTAATCTTGTTAGCTCTCCGAAATCTTTATTATCTATCATGCACGAAATACAGGTATATTATTTTTATTATTTTTCACACTATGATCCCATGGACACACGGATTCCTCCCTCCACTTCCCATTCCTCCCCTCACTGTTTCATTAACTCAAATGACAAAAGTAAGGGTATTGTCATGTTGCTCACTAGAAAAGGTACCAAATAACACAGATATATTTTTAAGCAATAATCATGCAATGTGATGTATTTGGCCATGAGACATTATTTTTAAATAGAGGAAAGCAACAGTCACCTTTGTAAAAGTTATAAATCACCAGCACCATAAGCCACCTTCCTGCCATCAGGGGGACTGGGGACTCATGTTGGGGAGCAATGGAGCACACAGGCCTGGGAATTCCAGGATGTGTTTGGGTCCCAAGTGGGCATTATTTATTGGGGGGACAGAGAGGGTGGAGGGGAGAGAGGTGTTAGGGTCCCAAGCTGGCATGCTAGTGTGGTATGCTGGTGGGGACTCACTAACATGTTTGAGTCCTGGATGGGAAAAGGGGTAGGGTCCCAGGTTGGCATGTGTGCTGGAGGACTAAATCTGGGGTCCGAGGTGGGTCCCAGGTAGGTCCCGAGTGAGTGGGCAGGGCTCAGGGCAGTACGCTACCCTACCAGAAGACTGGGCTGTGGAACCCATGTAATTGTGGACATGAACTGATCAGGGAAGGGGGTCTGGGACGTGTGGGAGGGTGGACCACTGAGAGAGTATATTGCAAGTGAGGAACGTCTTCTGGGGAACTTCTGCCAACAAGGCCACTGTACTTGCAAGTAAGCAAGGGGCTGAGAGCCAGAGGTTTCAAGGGAAATTGAATTGTCTTTCTGGATCAGACCCACCCATGTGGGAGATCAAAGCTGAGCCAGTTAGCATCAACTACTGCCCACCAGTGCATAGGAAAGCTAGGGTTAGGTGGGGGCTACATGGCAGAGCTGAACCACAGTACCCACCAGGGAGTGTTGGGGCAGGAAATGGGTCATGTTAGGCTGGTCTGTGACACTAACCAGCACATGAGAGAACCAGGTCTGAGGACAGATTCAGAAGGAAATATATGGGGTCACCCTTGTGGGACTACAGTATGCACTGGTTTGCTCAAGAGCTGGTGTGGTGATGGACCAAATTAGGTATAACCATTGAATTCACTGACACTCATGGATACTGTGGTTCAGAACAGGCAAGGCTGGCCTAGGCTACAGCACTCACAGGTGTATGGAACTATTGTTTGTAGGGCAGCCTGGGCCAGAACATCCACCAGTACACACTGAGCATGAGACGGAGGGGTGGGCTATGCTGGGTAAGGGCTTAGCACCTGCTGGTACTCGTTATCTAGGTCTAGAGTCAGCCTGATGGGGGGACTTGGTTAACTCCCCTAATGGGCCATCACTCTCCCTGGTAAGCACATAAGTCATGGTTGGATGTTGGCCATCCTGGGAAAAGCTGCTCCACTTGTCAGCACATGTGTCAGCTGACTCAGAGGGCAGACTGGGCAGGGCCAGGCCAAACAGTAGCACACTGGCAGAAGCCAGGATGACATGTGAGCTACACTGAGCTAGGCTATCTCTCCTACCAGTCTGCACAGCAGTTAAAGATGGGGTTGAGGCTGAGCAAGGCTAGGCTGAAAACTCACCAGTAAGAGTTGGGACTGGAGGCTGGCTGGCCAGGCTAGGCCAGACTGCAGCATCCAAAGGCAAAGACCACGACAGGAAACTGGCTATGTCACGCTGGGTCAGAGCAACCACCGACATGGGGCAAGAACATGGCTCAGAATGGGCCTGGTTTGGGAGTTAAGGAGATGATGCCCTTGCTGGGCTGTGGTTCCCACCGGTGAGCACGAGAGCTGGAATGAGGGTAGAAGACTGAGCTGGACATAGCTAAAACATCTCAAGTCATCTGGTGGACTGGGTCTGGGGTGTGCCATACTGGGCTAGGCTCTAGTACCAACTGGTGCTCACAAGAACTAGGGTGGGTACAGGACAGGCTGTGATAGGTCTTACTGAGTAATGCAAAAGCTAGGTTTGGGGGTTGTCAGGGGAGCTGGGCTGTAGCACCCAACAGTAAGAACTAGATGGGTGTGGGCTGGTCAGGCAAGGCAGCTGTATCTGCTGGACAGGAAGTGGGCCAAGTTAGGCTGAGCCAAGAACCTGCTGTTGTGTGAAAAATCTGCAACTGGGAGGAGACCTGATAGATAAGCTTGTGTAACTCCTCTGTCAGGACAGTCCCTGATGGTGATCACACGAACAAAGACTGGCAGCAGCTCAGACCAGGCCAGGTCCTAATACCTACTAAAATACACATGGCTCAGGTCTGGGTAGGCCGAGCTGGGCCAATTCTTTGTACCCACTGACAGATGTGAGGACCGGGACAGGGTGTAGGTCAGATTCCTTTGGGCTGCAACACTAGCCAGTTCCCATCAGGGTCAAGACTGAGGCAGTCCAGACTGGGCTAGCTAGTAGCACCCACCAACATAAGCTGGAACTAGGGGATGACAGGGCTGAGCCAGGCTTCAGTACCCACAGATGAATGCTGAGGTGAGGTAGGCATGCCAGACTGGGCCAAATATCCAGCAGCACTCAAAAGAACCTGGGGATAAGATGAGGCTGGTAGGAGAGCTGTGGGATTTCTCCTGCTGGGCCACTGCTCCTGCTGGTGAGCATGAGAGCTGGGACATGGGGTGAACTATGCAGGGCAGCACTGCAACACCCATTGGCCTGTGTGTAAGCTGGATTAGGAGAGTTAGGCTGAGTTAAATGAACATGTCCACCAGTTTATGCATGAGCCAGAGTAAGTGCAGGTTAGTCAGGCTTTGCTGTAACATTAGTTGGCAAGTGCTGGGACTGGGAGCAAATCCCATCAGGCTAGACCACAGAACCACCTGGAGAGTGCAAGATCCAGGCCTGGGAGTGGGCTTTATAGGGCAACTGTGAGAAACCCTTTGATGTGCTGCAACTCCCACTAGTGAGCATTCGAAAGAGGGCTGGGGGCAGGCCTGGCAGGACAGGCAGTAGCACCAGCTGGCACAAATGTGGGTTGGATAATGGGGATGGTTGGGCTGAACTAGGTTCAGCACCGAATGATACGTACAAGAATCAAATGGGACACATAATCAACTGGACCAGTCTACTGTACATACTGGCATGGGCATGGACCAAAGTTGGGGGTGAACCTGGTAGGGATTTTGAGGGTCACTCTGACTAAACTGCAGTTTTCCCTGGTGTACATGAGGGCAGAGTGTGTGCTGGGCATGGTTAGGCTGGGCTGCACCATCCATTGGTTTGTGTGTGAGATGGGACTGGAAACAGAACTGATTGAGCAACAACAACCACTTGTGTCTCTGTGGACTGATATGGATAAAGGACTGAGCCAGACCCTACACTGGCTGGCTACACAGGAGTGAGGCCTGGGGTCACTTCTAGGAAGGTTTCTTTGGGAACTCACCAACAGGACCACTTGTCTGAAAACTCTAACCACAGCGAAAATCACAGGATCTGTGATCTGATGTATCAGAACTGGGCCTC